TATAAAAGGCCCCAAAAAATTACTAGTGTAAAACCATTCAAACGGAAAAACCAGCGGTCTAATCTATATAAAAACGAGAAACGAGAAACACGTATGAACTGCATTAACAGACGACAACTTCTGTAATCAGATTCCTGACTTAGGACAGGTGCAAACATTTGCAGCGGGATTAAACGTTTTAATGGTACCAAACCTTCTCCCTTTTCTGAAACAATAGTATAACATCACAACATAGAAAAAACACACTATAAAATATCAATTGGAAGGCTTAACTCAATCAAAAAACGTAAATTAACACACAATGAACGAATGAATTTGACCTGTGACACCTGAATGCAAATACACAGTTAATAAAAAATTACAAGGGATAAATAATTAAAGTCAAAAGTAAATAAACAGGTTTAAACAAAGTTAAAGTATGATATCACTGTGAAATTTCAAACAATTTTTAGAAAATCATCACTTTTGAAGAAACCTGCGTCATATTATACACAGGTAAATGAAAATAATTTTGTTGTTAAGTATACTTCTTCTTCTGCGTGTATAAAATCTTCCGTTTAGGAATACCAAGAAATTTCTTTAATATCAATAAAACCAATCGAACACTTGGTACATATGGGGTGAATATCAACAATAAAAATATACAATTAGTGCTAGATAAAACTTCCTGTGCAGGTCCAAGAACAGCATCTAAGGAAAAATGAAATAATTTTGATGTTCATAGTACGAAGAAGTGAAAATTTGTAGTAAATTAGATACCAAATAATCAAAGATGGTATATAGACAAGATCCATGTTAACATTAAATAACAAAAAAATCTTTGTTTGTAATTTTTGACAAAGACAACCATATTTTATGTATAGGAACAGTGTTAAGGATAAATCGAGAGGAACATCATGTTGAATAACGGAAAACATACAACAATAGCGAAATGAATATTAGTTCGAGCTGTTATATAACTACTATATAATTACAAAGAGAGGGAAATTAGGGGCTGCCTTAGTAAATTATCAAGTTGCTTCATTTTGATTGGGGGCTGGTCATTTGTGACTGAAGAGTGAATAATAATAATAATAATTAGTATTGAGAACTTGATGAGGAGGGGTTGATTTTTACGTCTTTGAAAGTGGGGACTTGAATTTATTTTCTTTCATCAAGGTGGGAACTTGAAAAAATACAGAAATTCCAATGTTTCCTTCCATCCACTTGAATGCTGGAAAATAAGAATCTCGTCACCTTAACAAAAAAAAACAGATTTAGGATTTAAAAAAATAGGATTTTCATGCCTACAACATTCATAATTTGAAAATAAAATTTTATAGGTATAAACAAAAACAATCACATTATGCCATGGCAAAGTGAATGATCATACTTTTCAATTAAAACTAGAATTATAGAAAGGTGTTTAATCAGAAAGAACCTAACAGGTATTGAGTACGGGGTTGCAGCATACATTTTATACCTTTAAAAAACGCGAACCTGACAGAGCGCATGGCAACTGGTGTATTTACATTGAAACTATGGATTCATACTATTACATTCATGTATTCCATTATTGTTTTCTCAATTTTTAAACTGTTATTTGTTTTAAATAATCGTTATGTATTTACAAAAATTTCTATTCAATAAAGGGCACCGTCAACCGCGAAAATAGTGTATAACCACAGGACTACAATAGGTAGGTCATAGTGGCAGTTTTAGCTTAGCATAAATATATATTGTTAACTTCATAAACTCCGTGTAAAACGTGAGTGATAATATGACATAGATTTGAGAACTAGTAAATAAGCGTTTCTAATTTTCTTGTGTGAGAATATTTTGTACAAATTGTTGTACAGAGTTATGTGCATGCACGACGTATCCCTTCATGAGTTATTGAATCTGAAAGCACATACATGTATCCCTGGCTATATAGTGCTGTGCTAGCTGAATCATATAAGTTTTTATGGTCAATTATTTGGACTTTTGGAAGCAAGGACAAGGTGATCGATCGTTTAATTTAAATGAAAATAAACTCAAATGTAGAAATGGTTTTTCGATTATTGCAGGAATTAAACAAATTCAGTTACTTATGATTGGGACAAAATAATATGAATACATGTATTCTGATTAACTAATGGAACTCAATTTTCTGGAAGAAAATTTGATGTTGTTGATTTTAACCAAATGCCAACAGGTTAAATCACTACGATTTGACCTACGACTGCCTGTTAACACTCGTAAGTTTACGATCAAACTTACGATACAATTCTACTTACGATTTTTTATGAAACGGTCAAAAACATACGATTTGACGTACGACCGACGTAAGATCTAAGATTGTCGTACGATTTTTTGTGAAACGATGGCCTGAAATATTAGAATGGAAAACTGGCGACACTTTCTTTATGTTTATCAGCTCCACCTTTATAAATAAAATCGACAAAGCTTGAAAGATATTCTTTTATGCTCTTTAAATGTTAACGTGGCTATTTCATTTAATAACGTATGAAAATTTACAATTAATCAATTTTATTATTTTCTTTGATAAAATCCATAACATTTAATTGGTTATATAAGGACAGAATAATTGTTGTAACCGGAAAAAGTGTGTAATCAGAAACACATTGCAGTCGTGCTTTTTAATAATCCTCTTTTTATTTATTTCGTCTGTAGAGATATAATGATAATTAATATCTCTCAAAAATGTTCTTTTGTAAATGTTGGTCTTATTTCGTATGAAATTTTAGAATATATTTCAAACGGAGTGTTATTTCTATTTAATCATTGATACATATTAATGTTAGTATTTGTTATTATAGACAATTACTGTTTTATGAATTGTCTGCATGTATACGAATTCCAAAGGTATCATCCCTCCACTACGCCTTATCTATATAAAATGCACAATGATTGTTCTTAGCCGTATTAATTATAAAAAAGAAGATGTGGTATGATTGCCAATGAGACAACTCTCCATAAGAGACCAAAATGACACAAAATTTAACAACTATAGGTCACCGTACGGTCTTCAACAATTAGCAAAGCCCATACCGCATAGTCAGCTATAAAAGGCCTCGAAATGACAATGTAAAACAATTCAAACAAGAAAACTAACGGCCTAATTTATGTACAAAAAATTGAACAAAAAACAACTATTTAACACATCAACAAACGACAACCACTGAATTACAGGCTCCTGACTTGGGACTGGCACATACATAGAGAATGTGGCGGGGTTAAACATGTTAGCTGGATCCCAACCCTCCCCTAACCTGGGACAGTGGTGTAACAGTACAACATAAGAACGAACTATAAAAATCAGTTGAAAAAGGCTTAACTCATCAGATGGATAAAAATACAAATACTACAAATACAAGTGGACGAGGCCGGGTACACACACATTTAAAATGAATTAAACAGTATATATTTATCATTAGACAGCCCGATTTTGATATCTCCTTGAATTTTTTTTAACCATTAATTACCTTGAGCAAGAACTTATAAAAAGTAAAATCACAAAAATACTGAACTCCGAGAAAATTTCAAAACGGAAAGTCAATAATCAAATGGCAAAATTAAAAGCTCAAACACATCAAACGAATGGATAACAACTGTCATATTCATGACTTGGTACAGGCATTTTCTTATGTAGAAAATGGTGGATTGAACCTGGTTTTATAGCTAGCTAAACCTCTCACTTGTATGACAGTCGCATCAACTTCCATTATATTGACAAAGATGCATGAACAAAACAAACAGACATAATAGGTAAAAATGTCAATAATACAGTAGTCAACATTGTGCTATAATCCTAATCCCTAAAAAAACATACAAACATGTAACAAAAAAGCACAAAATGGCATACAGACCAACAGTCTGAAATTGTACTAGACTAGTACTTAACCACTTTATACCCGCCATAGTCTTAATCATTTTCGACCAAGGCTGAACCATACTCGACCTGAACAATATTCTAGCAAATGTTAACCAACGTAGACCTATTTTTGTGTATCTATCAATTGTATTTCATTAATTTAGGAACTGTTATACATATGCACAATGTGTATCACATTTAAAATGTTTTTGTTAAATGAATTTTTATATAATGATATCATGTTCTCATTGCTTTATGTACATAAAGAAATACCAGAATTTTCAACTTTTATTCAAATATCTTAAATGATTTTCATTTTTTTTTTATCAAAATATATTTACAGTAGTATATACAGCAATTTAATAAATGTTAAAATTACACCTTTGTTTTGTAAAACCAAGAATTTAATATAATAATAACATTCATATCAATCCGTGATAACCTGTTAATAAAAGAAATGTATTACAAATAAAAGTAACAGTAGAAATTAATTTTAATTAAATCTAAATATGTTTTGATTAAATAAAAGACATGGCATATAATTCAAGAAGCACATTAATAAGGTTTGATAACCTTAGTATACACAGGAAAAATTGCAACATATGTTTTTCATATGTTTTCAAAACATATGAAAAACATATGATTTTCATATGTTTTTCATATGTTTGTCCCAAACATATGAAAAACATATGTTTACATATGTTTTGAAACATATGAAAACATATGGAAGCAAACATATGTTTTAAAAAATATGTTTATGTTTATGATTTTCATATGTTTTCATATGTTTTAAAGGGCATTTAAAAAAAATGTTTTGAGAAAATGTCAAAATTTGTAATTTAATTATCACATGCATTTTTTCATTCATTATCTATATAGTGTGTTTCTCAAACAGGAAAGTGCACTTTCTACTCTTCCCACTAAATCCCACATCATCATGATGATAAAAGCATGTCAGCCCTCAGGCTATGTCATCCCCACAGCAGAGCTATCTAATTCTGAATGGAACATAATGTAAAATAAATGAATGAGTTATAAATATTAAATAATGATACATGTATGAATAAATATTCTTTATTTAGTTTGTTCTTTGTTCTCAATTCTTTTTTTTTTTTATCAGTAATCCCATTATTCTCTACTGTATGATTCTTTATTCCATATTTCTGCTTTTTTTAGTATCTGTTCTTTATTTTTTTTTTTCTTTATTTTGCACTTTTTGTCATTATTTTCTATATTCTTAGACCCCAATCTTGATTCCAGACCATCATATATATATATACGTAAATGTACGAAAGCTTGCATGGTACGTCGAATACGGAAACCCGGAAATCTTTTCAGCGTTACCGTTTTTTATACTATGACGCAAAATCCATGGACGCTCACGCGATCCACAGTTGTGGTCATTTAAAAAGTTTGAATGGACAGAGATAGATGATACAAAGAACTTTGGTTTTTCAAACTGGTGAATCAAAATTTATTATAAACAGATAAATTGAAATGGGTGACTTGTCGATTAACTGGAAGAAACCGGGGGACGAAACATAGAAAATTTATAGAAAGTCAACGCAACGAAACAGCGAAAGCCGAAAGTGTTTTTGTTTTGATGGATAGTTTTACGTACCCTAAAAGCACAACGAAAGGTAAATATTATTATGCACATTTTGTTTAATTATTGGATAAAAGCAGGAAGATGTGTGTGCTTTATTTTTCACGAAAAACTATTTGACTGTAGATATTTGTAAACCCGAGTCTGAGAACGATATTGTAATATAAATATAATTGCATTGGGTAATCCGTTTCATTATCTATTTATAATGAGAATGTTACAAGATTAAGACACAAATACATCCCAAATAACCATATGATTTGTAAACCCTTTAGACAATAAGACGAACTTTGAAAGGGCGGGGGGGGGGGGGGGGGGGGGCATCATATACTTGATGTAATGTATTGAAATTGTTTATCTAATGTCACTACAGAACTTAATTACTTTAACTGATGCAGACCTGTATAATCTGTCTTATGGTGTGTGATATTTGTATTTGTTTATCAGTTGTTTTAAAACCATGACACTGTGCAGACGACTTTATAATCTCTTTAGCAATTAGTAGCTATTTTACAATTAATAGATAAAGGATCAATTACCCCCCCTTTTCATGTAATTTAGATTTAAAAAATGTATATATACCTTTTCATACATTGCGTAGGTAATAATGTACATGTAACCTTTTCCAAATTTTAATTATGAGTGATTCTAGGACATGCTGGAGCGGACAAGAATCACATTCTGGGATTACAGAGAAAATCATCACATTTGATTAAAGCTCAAATCTGAGGCTCAAATTCCTTATGTTATGTTAACTTAAGTCAAAAGAAGATTTGCAACTAAGAAAATTACAGGGCTTTGCATATGACAAGTACAATAAGCCTTAATTATCCTGAGTCTGAGACTACTATTACTAAGTACTATAACAATAAACATCTAGTAATTCTCAGTCTTATCATACATGTATTATACTTCTGATAGTTTTCCACACCTATTCACATATTTTTAAGCTGAAAAATATGAGCCAGGCTATTACTGCGGCAGACTTATCACCTTGTACATTATACATGTAAGAAGTGGACCCCTAGAGTGCATGAATGGTCTACTTTACATATACTTTAATGTGAATATATAAATAAGAAGATGTGGTACATGTACATGTATGATTGCCAATGAGAAGAGTCCAATTCTCCACCAGAGATCAAATGACATAGAAGTTAGCAACTATAATAAGTTATGGTACAAGATGACTTCAACAATGAGCAAAGTCCATACCACAAAGTCAGCTATTAAAGACATTTAATGAAAATGACAAATGTAAAACAATGCAAATGAGGAAACTAACAGACTGATACATGTTATGATTTCTAAACAAAACAAGGAACAAATAAACAAATATGATATACAGCAACAAAGTGAACAAACAACAACTTGAACCGCTGAATTACAGGCTCCTGACTTGGGACAGGCACATACAGGATGTGGTGGAGTCAGACTTGTTTATTGGTGCCAAATCTTCCCCTTAAAGGAGCTATAATTTGTTTTTTATGTGTGTGTGTGTGGGGGGGGGGTCTAGGATGAAATTTGTAAAAAAGGCAGGATGAGACACTTTGCCCAAAAAAAAAGGCAGGATGACAATTGATGTAAAACAAAAGTCAGAATAAACTAGAAATAAAAAAAAGACAGGACTGAATAGAGTGGAAAAATGGAAATGCAGGACAAACTTTTTCATCCTAACCCCCCCCCCCCTAAATCAATGGTAGCTCCCTAACATGGGATAGTGGTGTGAAAAGGCTTAACTCATCTGACATCAGATCTGTACAAAGCAGATTTAACCACTTTGATTTATCACTTCATACAACAGACTGTTACAGTCATATGGATTTAATAAACATAAGATGGATTAGAACATTCAAATAATTTAATACTTTTTGCATAGTTAATTTTTTTTTCAGGGCAAGTCTAGATCTGTTGTTCTTGTTTTAAAAGATCAAAATAAGCCAATTTTGTCATATAAAAATTTTTAAGGCAATAAATTTGGCAGATATATAAATATTGTAACTTCCTTTTATTATACATTTGTACAAAATGTACATGTCATACTTTATTTCTTTTAGCATTTTCAATGAAAGTACATTTTGTACTCCAAGAAGTAGAAGAATCTAAGCAACAGATCTAGAACAGAATTCATTTGATGCATTGCTTTCTAGATTATATAATGGATTCATAGATTGTCATATTGATTTATGTGCATATAAGGAGCAGCAGGCAATAATTATTTTGTGATGAGAGGTATGTAATGAAAAGGATAACTTTGTTTAAATATTTTGTTTATTCATGTAATATTTATGTATACCAAAGGTTTATTATATATACCAGTAATGTCTTGGATAAATTATTTATACAGGAATTATTTAACTTTGAAATATAAATTCTATGGAAGATAACCAGTAAAGCACTGTTATGGTTACATTTTTTTGTCAGATATTTTTGTAATTCATACCATACATGTAGGTCTATATCAGCATAGGCTTTTATGAGTTAGAAAATAAGTGCTGATCAAATATGTTTACAGGAGTTATGCCTCTTGGAAATAGATATTGTAAGAAAAATTGCATTGCAAGCAATCAACACACGTCTTCATTTCTTTTAGATTATTTATAATTTATGAAAAAGGTTGAAAGAACATACATATTTTTTGCTTTTTGATAGCAAATTTTATACATGTATATCCATCAATTGGCAAGGTACATTGAAAAGCTGTTCTTTTATTAAATGCATGAAATATGAATGGTAACACAAATGACAACATATTACGTTCATGAGTTAATATTTCCTTGTCGTAAAATAGTATACGCGAAGTACTAACATTGAACTATGGTAACGTTGTAATTCTTAAGTTGTAGTGAATGACGTTATTGTATAGATTTCATAGCTACAACGACGATTAAACGAACATTGCTATCATAAGTATTTATTGAGATTCCACAACATGCCTATAAATGGTGTATTTAAACAATTTTGCCTATTTAACAGGAAACCAAGATTTATTAAACATCAAGAGTTAAGGCCTTAATCATGTTAATGTTGTTTTTTATACGACTGCAAAAAAAAATTGCAGTCGTATATTGGTATCACGTCGTCGTTGTTGTCCGCATCGTCCGAAGACACTTAGTTTCCGGACAATAACTTTAGTTTCAGTGAATGGATGTCTATGAAATTTAAACACAAGGTTTGAAACCACAAAAGGAAGGTTGGAATTGATTTTGGGGGTTACAGTCCTAACAGTTTAGGAATTTAGTGCCTAAAAAGGGGTCAAAATAAGCATTTTACTAGTTTCCAGACAATATAACTTGTGTGTAAGTGTATGGATCTTTCTGAAATTGTACCACAAGGTTCCATAATAAAAAAGGAAGGTTGGAATTGAATTTGGGGGTTGTGATTTTAACTGTTTAGGAATTAGGGGCCAATAACAATACTTTTCTAATACTTTGTATAAATTGCTTATTTCTTGACCAAATCAATGGGGTTTTATTCTTGAATTCTTGGGGTTCTTTAATATGCTGAATCTAACCATGTATTAAGTTTTTGGATTTTGGGCCCCGTTTTTAAATTGGTCCACATTGAGGTCCATAGGGTCCAAAATAAAACTTTGTTTGATTTCATCAAAAATTGAAGTATTGGGGTTCTTTGATATGCCGAATCTAACCTTGTATTTAGATTTTGAATTTTTGGTCCCGTTTTCAAATTGGTCTACATTAAGGTCCAAAGGGTCCAAAATTAAACTTAGTTTGATTTTAACAAAAATTGAATTCTTTGGGTTCTTTGATATGCTGAATCTAAACATGTATTTAGATTTTTGATTTTGGGCCCAGTTTTCAAGTTGGTCCAAATTGGGGTCCAGATTAAAGTTTGTTTGATTTCAACAAAATTGAATATGTGGGATTCTTTGATATGCTGAATCTAACAGTGTATTAAGTTTTTGGATTTTGTGCCCATTTTTAAATTGGTCCTCATTGAGGTCCAAAGGGTCCAAAATTAAATTTTGTTTGATTTCATCAAACATTAAATTATTGGGATTCTTTAATATGCCGAATCTAACCGTGTATTTAGATTTTTAATTTTTGGTCCCGTTTTCAAATTGGTCTACATTAAGGTCCAAAGGGTCCAATATAAAACTTAGTTTGATTTTAACAAAATTGAATTCTTGGGGTTCTTTGATATGCTGAATCTAAACATGTATTTAGATTTTTGATTATGGGCCCAGTTTTCAAGTTGGTCCAAATCGAGTGCAAAATTCAACTTTGTTTGAGTTTAACAAAAATTGAATATATGGGGTTCTTTGATATGTTGAATCTAACCATGTATTTAGATTTTTGATTTTGGGCTCTGTTATCAAATTGGTCCACATTGAGGTCAAACGGGTCCATAATTAAACTTTTGTTTGATTTCATAAAAAAATTGAATTCTTGGGGTTCTTTTGCTGAATCTAACCATGTATTTAGATTTAGGATATTGAACTATAATAGGTAAATGTCTAATTTAAAATTTTTAAGTTCTTAGACCACATTGATTTTGTGTCAGAAACCTATGCCATGTATGCTGTGTCAAATATTTAATCACAAACCAAATTCAGCGCTGTATCAAGCTTGAATATTGTGTCAATACTTGCCCCATCTGTTTGGGGTTCGACCTCTGCGGTCGTATCAAGCTGCGCCCTGGGGAGCATTTTATTTTAAACTAGACAGTAGAATAGATCATTTTATATTAGAAAAAGTTCATACTATACTGAGACGGGCTTAGGCTATACATATATTATTAATATTAGTTACACTGTTGATCTTTTTGTTGTTTGTTGCATATTTGTTTCCATTCACTCAAAAGTAAAAATATAAATTAGTGAGCATCAGTTCATACTACATCTACAAAAATGATCTTGTTTTTGTCTGGACTTCTGGATTAAATTAAGATTTACAATTTTAGCTTGTTACCATGGTTACCAAATGAAAGAAAAGTACAGTATTAGAATCACTGGTGTACATGTAGGTGCAGATGTCAGGCAAAAAGAACTGGTATCAAAGTAAGTTCATCTGTTGAATTGCAGTTAATTTAAATAATTTAATGTTATCTATTTAAAACTTTTTCAAGTGTAATTGTACATGTTACAGCATGTATATCATGTATACTGTTGTTTATTTCTGTCTTTCTGATGTCAAGTATGCATCAATTTGGTGGCCTTCGGCTGTTGTCTGCTCTATGGTCGGGTTGTTGTCTCTTTGACACATTCCCCATTTCCATTCTCAATTTTATCAAGGAATCCTTCTGCTCCACACACACACACGCATAAGATGGTCAGAAGTTAAAATAATTATAGCATTTGCTTATATTATGAATTGTATATTTAAAAGTTGTTCTTGTCTTGAATAGTGATATACATAAAATATTTGCCACTGAATCTTAAATTAAGCTAGAAAAGTCAATCAGTTATTGTTTTTGCATTATAGGAAAGAGTTTTCAAACATATAACAATTGAATAATTTCCTTTTAAGATTTTTTATGAACCAGCATATAGATATAACATGTTTAACATGTATGAGGAGATGAGGTACATGTATGATTCTCAATATGACAACTATCAATTCAAAAACCAAAGGACAAAGATTTAAACATTTCCTGGTCACTGTACAGCCATAAACAATGATCAAAATCCATACCATAAAGTAACCTATTATGACTATAACTTGTATAAGGATGAAAAAATGTGAACCAATGAAAAAAATAAAACTACACACTGTGACACATTATGGCAGACAGCACCTAACATAAGAAACAAATGTCAAAATCAGCCAGAAAGGGCTGGACTCATCAACAAGCACTTAAAAAGAAATAACAAAATAATAAAAGATGCAAAAATTATGTTTTCCCAAACTAAAATATCTATCAATTCACCTTCGACAGATTTAATCAATTAATGTAACAACAAAACATTTGTCATTTCAAACAGTCTAAGAAAGCATGACTTTGTGTAATGCCAAAATATTGAACACACAAGAATATGTAGGACCATAACAGCATATAAGTATTAATAATTGCATAGAATTTCTATTTCTGAAATACATGTTCTTTTTTTTGTCAAGCTTGCAAATTTATTTCACGAAAGCGAGACAGTGATCCTAGATTCTGCCAGGGGTGGCGTCGCTGTCCTAAAATATAGGTTCAGTCTGTGGTTAAAGTTTTTTTGTAATGTTAATATCTCTCTTATTAATATTATTTATAGTTATCATGGTAATAGGATATTTCTATTTACTTAGTATGTGGGAACCTTGCAAGGTCCTATAGCTGGTGTCTGTCTACTCTGTCAGAAAGTTATCGTGGTCAAGTCAATATCTGAGGTATTATAAGCAATAAGTTATACTTACTATATTTGGTGTATGGAATTGTTGTAAGGTGTAGATGTCCAACTGGCAGTTGTAATGATGGCCGATTGAATTTTTTCAAAAGAGTTATGCCTCTTGGAAATAATAAATTTATGGAAAATGGCCTCGTAAATGCTCTAAATTTTTTTTATTAAACTTATAGTATACTATTATAGTAATGCCCTTGAATGACGACGACGTACCTTCGGGCCAGGTGAGCTAAAAATTTGCGACTAGGTGGACATTGAAACTTTGTTCTTTTATTTCTACTTGCAGGAACTGAAAAGTAAAGAAACAGAACCAAAGGACATTAATTTTTAATTAATACAATATTGAGCTCAAAGTCAATCTAGTTGTCTTTCTTAATCATACAGGATATTTACAAAAAGCAGCTGCATACACATGCACCAGTAATAGCCAGCAGTGAAGACAATTAAATATCTGTGTATGGAGGTATAGCAATAGAAATATCACATACATCATAGGAAAATAGAATATAGACAATAGAAATGGAGTATGTCAAAGAGACACACATATGAAAATAGAATATAGACAATAAAATTGGGGTATGTCAAAGAGACAAACATATGAAAATAGAATATAGACAATAGAAATGGTGTATGTCATGTATGTAAAAGAGACAAAAATATGAAAATAGAATATAGACAATAGAAATGGTTTATGTAAAAGAGACATACATATGAAAATAGAATATAGACAATAGAAATGGAGTATATCAAAGAGACAAACATATGAAAATAGAATATAGACAATAGAAATGGTGTATGTAAAAGAGACAAAAATATGAAAATAGAATATAGACAATAGAAATGGAGTATGTCAAAGAGACAAAAATATGAAAATAGAATATTGACAATAGAAATGGGGTATGTCGAAGAGACAAACAAATGAAAATAGAATATAGACAATAGAAATGTGGTACAATGTATGTCAAGGAGACAAAAATATGAAAATAGAAGAGACAACAACTTAATAAAAAAAATTCTACTTTATATAAACATTATGGAGCACTTATTGTTTTTTATTTGTTTGAGTTTTTGATTTTGCTATGTATTTTCTGTGGAATTTGGTATTTTGGGTTTTTAACTTTTTAAACAACAACTCATCATAATGAAGTATTCACACTCAAAATGAGTTCCTGTCAGAAAAAAAAGATAACAAATTAAAGAAAAACATATTAAAAAACATCAAAACGTTACCCTTAAAAACCTATCGCAAAAAAAAAATACATATATATACAAACCATGTTTAGAATCTATGAGAAAATAAATGCATTTGAACAATTAAAAACATATAAAAAATATATATTTAGGACCAAGATAAAATCATATGAAAACATATGTTTGGGCCAAACATATGAAAACATATGTTTAGGACAAACATATGAAAACATATGTTTAGGCCAGGTATGAAAACATATGAAAAACATATGTTTACATGTATGAAAAACATATGTTTTTCATATGATTTTAAAAACATATGTTTTTCATATGTTTTCCATATGTTTTTCATATGTTCGAAAACATATGTTTTCATGTCGGGCCTAAACATATGTTTACATATGTTTTCAAACATATGAAAAACATATGTTAAACATATGAAAACATATGTTGCAATTTTTCCTATGTATGTTTTCATATGTTTGGCCCAAACATATGTTTTCATATGATTTTATCTTGGTCCTCAATATATATTTTTTATATGTTTTTAATTGTTCAAATGCATTTATTTTCTCATAGATTCTAAACATGGTTTGTATATATATGTATTTTTTTTTGCGGTAGGTTTTTTAGAGTTATGTTTTTATGTTTTAATATGTTTTTCTTTATTATCTTTTTTTTCTGTCAGGAACTCATTTTGAGTGTAAATACTTCATTGTGATGAGCTGTTGCTTTAAAAAGTAAATAACCCAAAATACCAAACTCCACAGAAAATACATGGCAAAATCAAAAGCTCAAACAAATAAAAAACAACTGTATACAGGCATTCTTTTATGCAGAAAAATAACAGTGCTCCATAATTTTTATATCAAGTAGAATTTTTTTTTTTATTAACTTGTTGTCTCTTCTATTTTCATATTTTTGTCTCTTTGACATACCACATTTCTATTGTCTAGTGTATTCTATTTTGGTTTGTTTGTCTCTTCGACATTCACCATTTCTATTGTCTATATTCTATATTTTCATGTTTGTCTCTTTGACATACCCCATTTCTATTGTCTATATTCTATTTTCATATGTGTGTCTCTAGACATACTCCATTTCTATTGTCTATATTCTATTTTCATATGTCATTATGTGTGTCTCTTTGACATACTCCATTTCTATTTTCCTATGATGTATGTGATATTTCTATTGATATATCACCATACACAGATATTTAATTGTCTTCACTGCTGGCTATTACTGGTGCATGTGTATGCAGCTGCTTTTTTGGAAACATCCTGTATGATTAAGAAAGACAACTAAATTGACTTTCAGTTCAATATTGTATTAATCTAAAATTAACGTTCTTTGGTTCTGTTTCTTTACTTTTCAGTTTCTGCAAGTAAAAATAAAAGAACAGAGTTTCAATGTCCACCTAGTCGTACATTTTTTATCTATCAAGGGGCAATATTAAAAAAAAAACATGTTTTTTTGCTCTTTGATCAGGTTGTTGTCTCTTTGACATATTCCCAATTTCCATTCTCAATTTTATTTTTTGTTCTCAAAAATATTTATTAATAAAAATGTGTTTGGGGGAAAAAAAGTTCTTTTTCTTGTATACTAAATATTTCAAACCGACCAGGGCATTACTATAATAGTATACTACATGTATAAGTTTAATAAAAAAAATGAGAGCATTTACGAGGCCATTTTCTATAAATTTATTATTTCCAAGGGGCATAACTCTTTTGAAAAAAGTTGATCGGCCAAATTTATAAAGCTTGACTAGGATTATGCTGATATTAACCTATAGAATAAGTTTTAAAAAATCTGGCAAGAATTGTACCTGCAAGACAAATATAAACACCTTACAATCATTCCATAAACATAAAGTAGTTCACCTTTACTTTTAGTATCTAAAAAAAAGACCAAATCAAGAGAAATTTAATATTGGCCAATGAACAATGAAAATAAGGTTAAGGTCAGATGAAGCCTGCAAGATAAATGTAAAGTTAAACCTAAACACCTTACAATTTTAATTTACAATCATTCCAGAAACCAATTATAGTTCACCTTTACCTTATAGTATCTGGAAAACAGACTAAGCAAGAAAAAAATATCAAATGAAGCATGAAGATGAGGTCAAGTTCAGGTGATTACTGTCAGACCCATTGATGGCCTTTGGCTGTTTTTTGCTCTTTGGTCGGGTTGTTGTCTCTTTGACACATTCCCTATTTCCATTCTCAATTTTAGATCAGTACACCTTACAAACATTCCATACACCAAATATAATTTACTGAATGCTTATAGTATCCAAAAATTAGACCAAAACATAAAAACTTATTACTGAACCATTAAAATGAGGTCAAGGCCAGATTACAACTACCAGTTGGACATCTACACCTTACAATAATTCCATACACCAAATACAGTAGACTTATTGCTTATAATGCCTGAGATATTGACTTGACCACAAAAACTTTCTGACCGAGTAGACAGACACTAGGACCTTGCAAGGTACCCATATACTAAGTAAATATAAATATCCTATTACCATGAATACTATAAATAATATTAATAAGAGAGAAATTATGAGAGAAATTAACATTACAAAAAATCTTTATTTTTTCAAGTAATCACTGAACCATGAAAATGAGTTCAAGGACAATGGACAGTTGACTGACAGAAACTTCATAACATACATATGCATCTATATACATTGTACATAGTATGAAGCATCCGTGTCTTCCACCTTCTAAAATATAAAGATTTGAAGAAGTTTGTTTACCCCACCATGGACGCAGCCGCCTGATCAATATCCCTATGTCGAGCTTTCTGCAACGGAAGTCGCAAGCTCATAAAAAAAACTAAGCCCATTTATTAGTTGAAATACAGAAAAATGAAAAAGAATATTTTCAAAATTTTGCCTTGGATACTGTAGTTTGGTCATTAAGAAGCCTCGAATATTCTGTCTCAATTTCACAAAATCCCATGTCTGTTTGGCAAAGTTATCAATGTTCAAAAAAAATTTAACCACAGACTGAACCTAAATTTTAGGACAGCGACGCCGCCTCTGGCAGAATCTAGGATCACTGTCTCGCTTTCGTGAAATAAATTTGCAAGCTTGGCAAAAAGCAGAACATGTATTTCAGAAATTGAAATTCTATGCAACTGTTAATACTTATATGCTGTTATGGTCCTACATATTCTTGTGTGTTCAATATTTTGGCATTACACAAAGTCATGCTTTCTTAGACTGTTTGAAATGACAAATGTTTTGTTGTTACATTAATTGATTAAATCTGTCGAAGGTGAACTGATAGATATTTAAGTTTGGGAATACATAATTTTTGCATCTTTTATTATTTTGTTATTTCTTTTTAGTGCTTGTTGATGAGTCCAGCCCTTTCTGGCTGATTCTGACATTTGGTTCTTATGTTGGGTGCTGTCTGCCATACTGGGTGTAGTTTTATTTTTTTTATTGGTTCACATTTTTTCATCCTTATACAAGTTACATGTATAGCCATAATAGGTTACTTTATGGTATGGATTTTGATCATTGTTTATGGCTGTACAGTGACCAGCAAATGTTTACATCTTCGTCCTTTGGTTTTTTAATTGATAGTTGTCACATTGAGAATCATACATGTACCTCATCTCCTTATACATGTTATATCTATATGCTGGTTCATAAAAAAAGCTTAAAAGGAAATTATTCAATTGTTATACATGTATGTTTGAAAACTCATTCCTATAATGCAAAAACAATAATCGATTGATTTTTCTTGCTTATTTTAATGTTCAGTGGCAAATATTTTACAATGTATGTATATTTTCGACGAGAACAACTTTTAAATATACAATTCATAATATAAGCAAATGCTATAATTATTTGAACTTCTGTCATCTCATGCGTGTGTGTGTGTGGAGCAGAAGAAGGAGAGCAGGATAAGGATTCCTTGATGCATACTTGACATCAGAAAGACATAAATAAACAACAGTATACATTTTTTTTGTACATGCCGTAACATGTACAATTACACTTGAAAAAGGTTTAAATAGATAACATTAAATTATTTAAATTAACTGCAATTCTACAGATGAACTTACTTTGATACCAGTTCTTTTTGCCGGACATCCGCATCTACATGTACACCAGTGATTCTAATACTGCACTTTCCTTTCATTTGGTAACCATGGTAATAAGCTAAAATTGTAAATCTTAATTTAATCCAGAACTCCAGACAAAAACTAGATCATTGTTGTAGATGAAGTATGAACTGATGCTCAGAGTCACTAATTTATATTTTTACTTTTGAGTGAATGGAAAAAATGTGTAAGCAAACAACAAAGGTCGTATAAAAAGATCAACAGTGTAACTAATATTAATAATATACATGTATGTATAGCCTAAGCCCGTCTTAGTATAGTATGAACTTTTTCCAATATAAAATCATCTATTCTGCTGTCTACAGTTTAAAATAAAATGC